ACAAACATTTTTCATTGTACAGTATTCTGTTTGAACTGAACTAAGGAGATCGTAACGGAGGAAATGTTCCGAGAATGAAAAACATCTATTGAGCTCTTATAGTGAGTGCTCAATAGATAGCAGTAGAAGCCTGACAATGTCGACGAACTGATTATCGTATGTTTTCGAAGATACCAGGCATCTCATGTACAGTAGCAGCAACGAAAGAAGTTTCGCAGTTTGGTGACGAAAGAAGTTCCGCAGTCTTTAGAAGTCAGAGTTTTCGCCTGAGACCTTTCAGATATCTCTGTACGAAGAAATCTAGACAGGACAAATCCGACGATTCTAGTAGCCAAGCGAAAGTTTCACTTAAAACAATCAGAAGTGTTGAAATTGCGAAAAATTTGGAAGTGTGTTCAACATCCATCTGTACAAAATTTGTTTTCCTCCCATGGTATAACACGAAAGTTTATTGTTGAAAAAGGAGCATGGTGGACAGGATTCTGGGAGAGGCAGTTTAGAACGATCAAAGCTTGTTTAAAAAAAGTAGTTGGACGTTCTAGCCTTTGGTTGAATGAGTTAGAAGCAGTTTTCATAGAAATCGAAGCCATAATTAATTCAAGTCCCATAACGTATATCTACGATGACCTTTCAGAGCCCTCACCACTAACTCCTGCTCAATTCTTAAATGATAAACCGTTACTTTCTCTTTCAGTTATAAGAGTGTGCAGAGAAGACCTGATTGGGTCTAGGCATTCCTTGATCGAAAGGTATAAAAGATCAAGAATACGAAGTCATTGCATTTCGTGGAATTTTGAACAATTAAGATTTGAGAACATTACCCTGCTGAACAGCACACATATTTCTAAAAATTTATTATTCTTTCTAATTTGTATAATAAGCACTAAAATATTAAATGTGCTATGAACTAAACATCAGACTGATGCTACAAATGTCGCAGAACAAATATACTGCAAATATGTTTAGTCTGGGAACTTAGGTCTATTTAAGCCAGATATCTCTAGCAGCTGTGAAGTAAAACTGCCACTCTATAGGCAAATTTAGTGTTCCTCTCAATTCAGATTACTATACATAACTATGATATGAAAGCACACATTGCAAAGATGGATATGTTACAATGAAGAAGAATGGAAGAAACTAGAAAATGTCTGACATAAGTATAGTCATCCTGTTCATAACATCGTTTTACATTTCTTGGGAAGCCTGTGACTGTGATGTAATATTTTTAGTCGCTAAATACAGGGAGAAAAAGTTTTTAACAATGTAAGTTGTACCACAATAAGCTTAAGATTATTATGATTGTTCCTCTCACACATGGGTATCTAGTGTAGCACGTAAGTTTCGAGTACGTAAAGCACAACTGTTTTCCTTAATTGCTCGAAACAGCATTCTGTCTATTGACAACAGGTTTCTCATTTACAGATCCATCTTGCGTACATTGTTATGTTATGCCTGCCCTGTATGGACCTACTCTTGCCATAGTTTCGCCATGATACGTACGTAACAAAAGAATTCACCAAGAACTGAAAGTCGAGTTACTAATAATTTGTTATTACCTGCTTGCTAAAAACTTTTAGGAAAATCTAAAACTGATAGATAATCATGTTAGCAAAATCTGTTACTACGATTTCAACAACACTCTGAACTGTAACGGACCAATGTCTGTCATAAACATCAATAATTATTAATTACTGTTTGTAATTTTGTCTGGTGGTTATTTATATTTCTGCTGTAATGTGTATACTCATATTTCACTTAGTTTCTTTGCATATCTACTTTCAACTCATACGACTATATATTGTAGGTTCGCCATACCTTAATTTATTGTTAAGACTTGTCTCGTACTACCTTACTTGAAAGCACCAAAATTCTCGCATCTTACTTGTTAATTATTTTTACAATGTATAGTTTTTTTTTTTTTTTGTTTGTTTGTTTGGCGTTAAGGTACAAACAATATCCCATGTTTTCAGCAATCGCACCAGTTCGACGGCTTTCTGGTTCAACAGCTCTATTATACCTCTAATTTTATTCACAATTTCAGTTCACATATTATTTTTGATAATTTATTCTTAAAAGAAAAAAGCTTATTATTTCGGATTTAGTTTATGTTTTTGGTATTAATCGATTCGCAGTGGCTAATCGCACCGACGGTGCGAATAGCTAAAAGGCTATTCACACCACCTACGCTAGCGCATGCGCACAATCAGCCCAGACACCAGCATTTTACGCCGATTTCCGTAAGGCAGGCGGTAGAGAGAGCGAAGGTTGTTATTTCTAACTCAGCAATAGAAAGCGTTGTTAATAGTTCACCAGCAAGAGAATAATTTGCAAGTACGAGTAATAATTATCAGTTACAAAGAGGAGGTCAATCTATATACATCATAATGTTCAGAAAATGATTAGATGAAATAGGGATTTAATGATGGTTATAATTGCAAACGAGGACGTGTAATTAGTTGAAAAATCTTTAATGTATTGAAAAAAAGGCTACAGAGATTACTTAAATTCTTTTATTTAGAGGAAATTTAGCAAACTTAGACCTATCTTATAGCATAGGACTGCCAGAATTATTATTCAATACGAAAACTTACTAAAAATTATAATATCTTATACAGTAAGACCCCGCTTAACGCGGGGGATACGTCCATCAAAGTAGAGCGTAATGCGAAACAGCGCTAAACGAGGCTATCTTACATGGAAATATTGGGGTTAGGGCAAGATGGCTAGGGAAATGGTTAGGTATTAAATTAAAAAGTATGTTTTTTATAAAAATAAAACCAAACATTTATTTCTTAAAGCCCAAATTAATACCACATTATTATTTCTGCAAAATAAAAACAAAATATAAATAACAAAACGAATATTCTTAAAAAAAAAAAATAAAATAAAAAAAATAAAAATAAAAAATAAAAAATTCTCAGTCAGTCATATTTAATTAGCCTTCCGCGTTTTCAGTGTTCTGCCTTTTTGTGACAAAAGCATCTAATGTTGTTTGCCTTTTTCTTGCGTTGTTCTCTTAAAAGTCTTCATAAACGGATAGAGCATCTCTAACACCACGCCTTACTTTTGAGCTCCTGTCAAAATTCGGATCATTTCAATGAATTGATCCATTATTTCAGTTATGTAGACAAACTCCTTTTTACAAACGCCATCAAATTCTTTTTGCTCTTCTTCTGAATCATGCTGTCAACATTTTTGTTTCTTCTTGTTCAGTTAATTCCTTGAGCTCATCATTAGAAAGACTAGCCGCTGCTCTGGAATTATTTCTTCGACATCTTCCACATTTACCCCTTCAAAATATGTCTGTACAATACCGCACAAACAAGAAATACAAGTACACTCTTTCGGATATGTATTTGAAACCTATCGCTGCAAATATTCGGGGAATCCCCGGGTTGAAATAAAAGAGCGCTAAACCGAAACAGCGCTAAACGAAACAGCGTTAAGCGGGGTCTTACTGTATATTCATGATTTTTTCAGTATTCACTCATGTTTATAGGTTCAAATGCCACATTTCAAAATCAAAGTTATTTATGAAATGAAACCTTATACAATCTGATAAATCATTTGTGTGTGCAAATTTTTAAATCTAAATTTCTCACATTAATTTTTTTTTCTGTCTTTTAAATTACATCCCATTATTTATTTCAATTTAATTTATGAATGTGTTTGTACTAATATTTCAAAGTTCTTTGAAATACTTTTTGTGTCATTGAAAATGCCAAGTATTTCCATAAATTTTTTTTTAAATGTTCATACAGAATTGTTAATAACCAGTATTATATGATTAATTGTTCATTTAATAGCTTGATTTAATCGCTTTTAACTTATTTCATGTCTAAATTTTGTACACAGAAATCCTACGTCTAATTTTATATTGTCTTCCTTCGGACGAAGATGTTCAAAGAGTCTTGATTTCAAAGAGTCTTGGGAGAATTAAAGTCTTGATTGCGTAAAACACATCTTTGAAGCAGGGCCCACCAGCGGCCGAGCGGTAAAGTCGCTGAACACTGGTAGTTCGGTCCGAGGTTCGAATCCCGCGAACGGGCTGGCTGCATGGGCGTTTTCGTGGTTTTCCCCATGTGTAACGTGTATACGAGCCAGTTTCCCTTAGAAAGTTCTCCACAAAAGGCATCCCTCCCTTTAGGCAGATAGCCCTCGAGGCTTTGCCATAATCACACACACACACATCTTTGAAGCCAACTGTATTCTAAGAAGTGCAAAAAATGTAAACAAGATTTTGTCCCCCCCCCAAAAAAAAAAAATCAGTCATTTATACTGTTCCAACCGTTCAGGAAAACGATAAACATTGCGAACATAAAAATCTACCCCTTTTTTATATATACTTTAATAAAAGGAAATGTGTTCCTTCTTTTTATAAGAAAAGCAACCTATTTTCCTTTCTAAACTTCTGAAAGTCGCCAACGTTTAAAGAATGATAAACTACGCCAAAGTAGTAACCCGCCTTTTAAAGAAAAGACTCACTACAACACTTAGGCAGTTCGCGTACGTAGAATCCGTTATGGATGTAACAGTTTAATGCGCATGCGTGGTTAATGGTGGTGCGTCCGCCATCTGCCTAATCGATTAGGGGTAAACCGTTTCACGGAGGGAGGATGCAGTGCTCTTTTGCAACCAAAGGCATTATAAATTAATAAGTAGCAACAAGGCAAAAAAGCATTTTACGTGCGTTTTGATGACGCGAAGAGTTCTGTAAAATGATATATAATGACTGGTAAATTATTATTATGTCTGTGAATAAAACAATGTGTTTTCATTGCGTATCTCGACTTCACAATTAATTTGATATTTCGATATGGCAACAAAACATTTTGTTAACTTCCGGTACAGACGAAATTTGAGTGAAATTTAAAAGTACATAATGCGCAGTAGTCATGAAAGTTTCAAGTGATTATTTTAACCTTTATATCTGGTAATTTTCCGAACTTAATTTTCTAATTAAGGAACAAAATTATTGGTTCTTTTTATGTGATACATAATATTCTGTTAATTGTATGAATCAAGTAAGTTATTATAATAAAAAGATAATGGGTAAAGTGGCAGAATCGCACACTTATTTGTTTGACGCTTTTTACAAAAGTAAGAAGAATTGGATTTTTGTCAATTTTCTTTGACTTTTTAACTGAAAATAGGTTGATGTGTACATGGATAAAGTCAAGGAAGTGCGCAATGCCATTTTTGTGCAATTCTGGGATGTTTTTTCAAGTGAAAATAGGTCGATGTGTACATGGATACCAAGTATGACAAAAATCCAATTCTTCTTACTCTTGTGAAAAGCGCCAAACAAATAGATGGGCGATTCTGCACTTTACCCGATTTTTTTTTTCATTCAAACATTAAATTTAATATCAATTGCTAGTACTGATTATTTAATTGCTAATTAAAGTAACTAGGTTGTTTGCCATCGAGTTTTGTCTTCAATAATATAACTGTCTTAATAGCTTTGCAATCATTTGTTTTCTCAACTATCATTTTATGAGATTTATAATTAAATGTAAAGTTATCTTAAGCTGGAAATGTGAGATAGGCTTTGACACTTATTGATAATATTTAAATATTTTTGACAATGAGGGCTCTTGTTTGACATGAAAGCAAACTATGTTTCATTGAATGTCCCTTTATAATTGTTAATTAATAAATGTTTTGCCAAATGACTTCAAAAATACACTTAATTTGAGTTTAATTGAGATACCATTTAGTGACTTTATTTAACTGTTATTTGCGAAGTAATTGATTTTGGAACATTTCCAATATGAAGACCATATAAAGCCACAGAAAAAATTAGCCGAATGTAGCAAAAGGTATTTTTATATAATTATTTATTATTAACTTCCATCCTGATGTTAGGGTTGCCATAATTATTTTTGACATCAGCAATAGTTTGGTGATTTTTTACAGTCCCGACGGAATTGTACATTGATTTTTTTTTAATTATCAAAAGAATCATTACATAGCTGTCATCTGTCAAGAACATTGTATAATTGATATTTTAATTTTATAGTGATTTAAATTTAAATTCTAAACAATTAAAATGCAAAATGCTAAAGTTTATATGAATGAGTACTTCAGTGCATTCTTGCAGAAATTTGTGTTTTAATCAGAAGTATAGAATGCAGGAAAAATATTAGAATGCTGAAATTGAAATTAAGTACTGTATAACTTAATGTTAATTTGTTAACCGTATTTAATAATTAATAGTAAATTTACTTGGTAAAAATATATTTATGGGTGTCCTTTGGCGATAACTGGTGATTTTCGGCAGTACATGGACAATGATTGGCAATTGTGAAATTTTTTGACTTTCTTTGGTAGCGGCGATTTTTTTCACCAAAAATTGCCACTACACAAATCCCAAAATAACAAGTAAAAGAATTGCACAAACTCTGTATCCATGTATACATCGACCTATTTTCACTTAAAAAAAATCAGAGAATTTCACAAACTAGGCATTGTGCCTTGACTTTGTCCATGTACACATCGATCTATATTCACTTAAAAAGTTAAAAGAGCAGCTAACAAAAAATATATAAGGTTGATCTTTGGATTATGGTAACTTGGCGATTTTTTGGCGAAAATTTGGCAACCAACTCTGCTACAGCAACCCTCTATTTTTTTTTCGCCGCCATTTTGTCTTCACGAAGTAAAGACATGTTTCTTTTCTTTTATTAACTGAACACTTTTCCAACAATCTACTAGCCGAATTACAACTTATGCTAGAAATTTTATGTAACAAAACTGCTTAATCATGACAAATATTAACTGCAAAATTGGGAAAAAGTGCACAATCGCAAACTCCTTGCACGTTTTTCAGAATAGCAAATTGCACATAAACCATTTTACACGTCGACTTATTTTTATTAAAAAAAAATCCCAGAATTGCACAAAAATGGCTTTGCACACACTCTTAACTTTATCCATCTACACTGCTATTTTCTCATAAATTACAAAAATTTGCACGAAAATGCAAAAAAATTCTGTGAATCTTTAAACTTGGTAAAAAGCACATATATGAAATTACCTGATCGCAAAAAAGTATATTTCCATCCACGTTTACTTTAACTGAAACGTATACCAAATTCCTACAAACATAAAATTCACAAAATAACTATCATTTAATTAAAATATCACTAAACCATGTACACATCGACTTATTTTTACTTAAAAAAACATCCCAGAATTGCACAAAAATGGCATTGCGCACACTCTTCACCATATCCATGTACACTGCTTTTTTCTCATAAGTTAGAAAAATTTCACGAAAATGCATGAAAATACTCAACGTATGCTACTCAAACGTATTCCAAAATACTACAAACATGTAACTCACAAAATCACGATCATTAAATTAAAATATAATTAAATTAAAAAACACTACTTAAAATATAAATAAGCACATACATTAAATTAATAAAAATTAGATTACAATCCTAATTACTTTAAACTAAATCATTGCTAATAACAATTTTCCAATAATACCATATTAATTTATTTACTGCTTACATTTAGAACAATGCATAAAAACAATATCCTCAAATGATTAAAAATACTAACTTACCTAATCTTCAGAATTTTCATTACATGGCACGCACACTTCCACTATTTCACACAACACACAATGAAGCTTAATACAAAATAATATAGTACTACAGTTTTCCAAATTCCCCCCCCCTTTTCCGATTAAAGAACTATAATTCGTCCATTAATGACATATCTCATGATCTCTCATTTCCTTCGCAAAAAATAATGCGTAATCGGAACTGAGTACTTCTCGCATTTATTACCATTAAGTTCTAGGTAGTAACCTTTATCGCCTCTAAAATGTCGCCAAACTACCAGTTACCATATTCCAAAGATCAGCCATATATAATCTTGATAATAACTACATTTAAATCAAACAATGAAGTAACATAAAAAGAAAATTCATCTTAGCACTACACAAAGGAAATATCCACTTAACTTATTTACGAATTTCCGAGTCTTCAGTGTCAAACAGAATTCCTTAACAGCATCCAAAAACTTTCTAAAATTATCTGAACTAGAATATATATACCAGCACTGCCACATAAATTCATAAAAATAAGAATAAGAAATATCCTCCGTAGTGCTGGTATTGTCCGACGTTCAACCATACACATTTCCTTCCTACAAACAGAACACTTATAATGGCTACTGAGTAAACCTTTCATTTACACACCATTCAATTAATGCTTTTTTCTTTTTCATTCCAAATCGTACAGAAACGTCAAATTGATCTTACCACATTCAGCCATTTTACCATGTAAACCATAAAATAACCACAGTACTTTGTATGCAACATCTAACATATGAATAAGCCTTCATTTTTCCCCATCATTCAAATTCACCACAATCGTGCAACCAATTACGTCATAATAAGGTTTCCATAGCATTCAACTACTCGGGTTACCATAAATGAAATGTTGGCTATAAAATGAAAGGGCGATAAATGAAACAACTTAGCAATAATCCAAGGGGCACCTTTAAATCTACTCTTTTTACTTTTTGGCCTAAACAATTTAAGATCTTGGAGGAAAATGTTTTCTGAGCTGGCCGTTCTAATTAAATCACTGAAATTAAGTTATAATAGTTATAATCATAACTGTGTAACTGGCTAATTATTTTTTAATGAATCAAGTTGCACAACAATAAAAGTTACATATATGTGTGGAATAGAATACTTTTTGTATAGATATGTTATCTTTAATTTGTTAATAATAGATATTGTAGACTGTGTTATCTGGTGTTGCGTCACTGATTATTTATTTCCATGAAGTCTTTTTCCACAAGTTGAAATTCTGTTGTTATTCCTAAGAAAATGAGCAGTACACAGACAAAAAGTGAATTTAATTTGCACAGACAGTAAAGTTGAATGAAAGCACTACTAATTGTTATTTTAAAATATTTCAGGTTTATATTTCATTTAGTGATTATTGTACTTTTAGTCACTTCATGTACATTCATTTTCTTTCAAAACTAATTAAATTAAAAAAAAATAAATGTGAATGAGACATGAGAAATTTGAATCAGGAGATGCAAAATGTATTAATAGTTGAAATGAAATGTTGTGATATGTTGATAATGGTAGACCTAGGAATTGAACGTTGGCGAAGAATGTCATATGCTTACTTAAAAACTAATAAATATTTATATGTAATGCATGTACATATTTTAAAAATCTGATTAAAAACCTATAAATACCATCTTATATACTTTTTTACTCTCTTGTATGAAATAAGGAAAGTATTGTAATCGTGAAAAATTTTGGTTATCAGATTTCAACAGAAATATCCATTTTATCTGTTCCCAAAGCCATTTTTACTATCAAAATCGTAAAAAACAACCTTATATTTAGCGTAGGTATAATGAAACACTCAATCGATTTCGAGGGCAGCTAAAGGTCCCTCCTCATCAGGAGAAAGAAATACATAGAAAGAAGAAAATAGGAATCACAGAAACACGTGGTGCTTATCAGCACTGCACGTGGTTATAACTAGATTTTAATCAGAGTTGCACTGGCCGCCTACTTTTACTGAGCCAGGCTGTCTGATCAAGCATAAAGAAATATTAGCGAAGTTAAAATAGGGAGCGAGGGGCAAATGCACATTACGCTCAATTGAGCACATTACGCTCAATTATTTGAAGTTCAGATTTTGAGCGTAATGTGCATTTGCCCCTCGCTCCCTATTTTAACTTCGCTAATATTTCTTTATGCTTGATCAGACAGCCTGGCTCAGTAAAAGTAGGCGGCCAGTGCAACTCTGATTAAAATCTAGTTATAACCACGTGCAGTGCTGATAAGCACCACATGTTTCTGTGATTCCTATTTTCTTCTTTCTATGTATTTCTTTCTCCTGATGAGGAGGGACCTTTAGCTGCCCTCGAAATCGATTGAGTGTTTCATTATACCTACGCTAAATATAAGGTTGTTTTTTACGATTTTGATTGTCACATTAGCGTGTTTCTCTTCTAGTCCATTTTTACTATTTTTTTGTGTGTTGTCTGTTTGTACAAACAGAATAAAGGACTCTTTATTGGAAGACAGATTGTAAAATGGATTGAAAATGGTTTTTTTTTTTCCTGAGATGTCTGTATGTACATATGTACCTTGCATACCTCAAAATCAGTAAGCCGTAGAATGTTGAAATTTTGGATATGGGTCTGCTGTGACATCTAGTTGTGCTTACAGCTATGATTTCACCAAACTTGTAAATGTAAAAGTAAAATGACACAGTATATGTAACAATTACAATAATACTTAGATCTTGTTTGCTAAGAATATTTTTAATAATTTTTACTATTACTAGTAACTATTACCAACTTCTTAAAGCTGCTTCTTTTTATATCTGTTCCAGTAATCTGAATAAGTCATTGATCCATCTTGTGCATGTTGAATAATTTTCTTCATTAGTGTATATCTGTATTCGAGATCTAAATGATAAACACTGCCATCTTCCAGGCATATTCCTCCAAAAATCGATTGTTGTTGAAGTACTCTGCTGCTGATGTTTTTACTTCAGATGGACAAACTTTTATCAATTCCAGCTATTTTATTAGGACTGCGTGTTTGTGCACTGAATCTTTATATCCAGATGTAGGGAAACACACTTCCTGCATGTAATTGATCTAGTTAGTTGCAGCATTTTCACACACTGCGTGTTGCACTGTTTGATGGACATGAGTTACTCTGCTCAAGAATACATAAATCTAATAGCGGTGTCCAACGATATTCTGGAACTACTAAACCAATTTCCAACACTGAGGCCCTTTTTTTTTCATATTACTACTCCAAAAAATATCATTAGCATATAGTTTTCTGTTGTGGCTGTTCTCGCATACTCATCTGTTAGGTAAAAGACCTCTTTCTTGAAAAAATGATATGGCATTTACCTCTGTTGGAAAATTAAAGTTTGTTAACCATATATCCTCAAAAATACAAAGAATATTTTAAAAAAACCAATGCAAATTTGAAAACATTAGCAGAAATAAAACAGGAGCCTGATATAACAACACATGGCGAAATATATCGGTTGATTAGTGATTGAGGGCAGCTATAAGAAGGTAGTACCAAAATAAAAGTACAAGAAGTTTGACTGTCATTCAACAAATTTGACTGGGATATTTAATTTCGAAATTTGCAATTTTTGACGTCATTTTGAAATTGCCTTTAGCGATTAATTAATAATAATAAATTAAATTCAAAGAATTGGAGGAAATAAGTTTAAATGAAGTGCAGCAAAAAATATGTATAATTTAATAGGTGTATAAGAATGTCACGGGGTGCCTACACTAGAATTGTTTTTTATTTTTTATTAATGAGCTGTTTGTTGAGCTTGTTTGAGGTTAGGATGATCACTTATTATATAATGTGCTTGTAATTCAGAGTTTGCAATGTAATCTTTCCATAGAAATTTTAAATTTGCCAATTTTATCAAACTTATTCAACTGAATACAAATAACAGAGCAAATATAGAATTAGTTTTTCCTCCTTCTCATGTATTTCAGAATTTTTCTATTCTTCAAAACAGTACACTTGAGGAAAATAATGGAAATTATTTTTTTTAAAGAATTCTGATAAGATTATTGATATTGGTATTTAAATGGAGTATTAACTTAGTATTGAGTACTGTTATCCATAAATTAAATTTAAAATGTATCTGTCATAATAATTTTTACAATAATAATTTATAACAGTTGTATCTTTGTAATAATAAATAATTGTACTTTTTTATATTTTTTCATGTGTATAGTTTTAATATTTGTTAATTACAGTATGGTAAATATGAGTTTTCAGAAAATGTTTTTGGGAAATGAAGACACTCTTGTTATCTGTAATATTTTTACTGTATAATTAAAATTAAGAATTTTTTAATTGCTAAACATTTCATCAAATTTGTTGTCAGCTGTAAATTGTAGATTCAAGTCATTTATTGGCATTTGAAGTATTTTTTATCTGATACACAATGGTTATTTCTCTGGTTTATTTTCTTAAGTTTTTAAAAAAATTAAGTTTAAATGAAATGAGTTATTTGTTTTATGAAAGTTAGTTGTTTAATTTGCTAGTTTGTTGTTTCATCACCAAAATGACAAATCTAATGTTGGCAAAACTTGCCCCTGGTTTCTGTACCATTGAGCATGTTTTTCATTTATGGGAAAATACTGAACAGCCACTATTTCAGCAATCACCTGTAGTTTGAAATTTGCCATATAGGAATATTTCTTCCCTCACCCTTCCCTCTTACCTTCCAGACAAAAAATAATTTGGCTCAGAAAATATGAGTAGCATAGGTACCACAGATTATATACAAGAGAATTGTATACATGAATGGAAGAAATGTACTAGCTTCATATAGAGTGACCAGAATTAAAACTGTCTATTTTTGGTATCTGGCATTTTACTTTGTAGCAATTTGATTTGAAAAAATTCTACCTGTTTTATCTGCTTGGCAATACTTTTGCTCTCATAGCAACATGTTTGAACATTGCAGCAATTTTTTTTTTTTTTTTTTTTTTTTTTTTAAAATTTTGTCTTATATATGGGTTCTGAATTTTGGGTAAATTTTTCAAAGAAAAATGCATTGTCAGCTTTTATGTACATAAATCAACTTATATTAGGAAATATATGCATATAAAGTTAATTAATCCCTTGAATTAAATAAGAGTATCAACTGATTTAAAATTTGATACTCATTAGTGCACCCATTATTTTACTTATTTGCCCTTTTTCATAAAGATATTGAAAGTTAAGCTCTTTGTCCAGGATGCCTAATACATATGATGTCATAATATGGAATCATTTGTAATATTTATTTAATTCTACAAATTGTAACTATTTTACATAAGTAATTTTTTGGGTATTGTTCTGTTATAAGCACCAGGTCCAGAAATGTATATATGTGTATGTATGCATGCATGGGTGGATGTGTTCATATGCATGTATATTTGTATTAACATATGTATCTGCTTATGTACACACACATATATATGCACACACTTCTGAAGTCAGTCCTGATAAGAGAAGCGTACCATTTTTTGAATCAAACTCTGAGTACAGAATAAAATTAAAAGAAAATTTATATTGAATTAATCTGCTAATTGATAATTTTTTTTCTTTTCCATGTTTTTAGGTGCAAAGTATGAAGTGTCAGAGAATTATTGTTTTTATATATGTTTCTGTATTATCTGTTATACTAATTGTAAAATCAGAGCTTTTTACTGCTGTTGTGGATTTGGAAAAGTTGCTTTATACAGAAGGTGAAATTGTTAAGACATTAGAGAAATATATAGAAAGAGAAGAACAGCGCTTGGAGAAAGTTAGATGGTGAGTTATGTTTTTTAAATCTTTACCTGACAATTTACTTTTACATGAATTACTGTCATCTATAATGAGATAATTTTAGATAGAGAAGATGGCGAGAAAAATGTATGAATATCTTTTTTTTAATACTGGCTTGAAGAATTTTGTATTGGCATTTAAATATGCAGTTGGTGTTGCTGATCAAAGTCTGGCACAGAAAATGTATGCGAGTGAGACTCGTCATTAAGAGTCAGTTAGTTCTTACATTTTTTAAAGAAATTGAAATAGAACAAGAACAACAACAGCAACAAAAAATCGATGTGGTTTATTTTTCCAGACATCTTTAGTCAATTTATCAAAATGCAAGATACATGACTCTTAGTAAAGAAGGTCATGAGCATATCAGATTTAAACATAATAATTTGTTTATGCATTTCTAATCTTTCTTCAGTTTTATATAACATTTTTAAATTTTTTAATAAGTTTGAATCATTGATTAAACAAATAATAAATATAGTAATTTAATTTAATAATTATTTCTACTTTTTCATTTTATCTTCACGCATAATCTAGCAATAAGATGAACATTCTAAATTATTATTTTTTAAAAATGTGATACTAATGTTAATTGAGTAACAGTAATAACTTAAGAGTACAAATTTTAAATAATTTTCATTATTAGAATCACATATTTACAAAAAAAATTTTAATCAGTGTATTGAGAAACTTTTTAAAATTTATTTTATTTATACATGACATTATGGTAAAATATTTTGCAAAGTGTTCTTTTCTGTTGAAATTTTATTAGCTACATTTGTAATTTATAATGTATTTCATTATAAAAGATTTAGTTATGAGAGTATTTAGAAATTAAATAGTAGAGTCAAAAGTCTTTAATCCAGACTCGCCGGGACTTCGGTGATTCCGGATTATCGGTTCTTCCAGACTATAGATCATCGATTTAAATCTGGTAAGATGGCATGCAGTAATTATAAAATTAAAAATATGAAACTGTAATTTATGAAAGAAAGAGCAATTATAATCTAAAGGATATCAAAATTTACACAAAGCTTTATTTATTTGTTTACTTTATTAAACATTTCTTTCAACGCGCATGCGTAAAGCATACATTATGCATAGTCGAAATTAGAAAATTGCAACCAGAAAACTATTTGATGTGTATTCATGATATTTATAATGACGAGGAATTTGATTTAAATTATATCAAAAACGGAGTACATCGAGATGAAATACTACATTTAGTGAGGAATTATAAGCCAAATAAAATAAAAACATCTGCCCTGAAGATAAGGATAGTGCTGACAGATCAACTTCCAGTTAACTGCGTGCTGCGATGTCCGCCCTGCAGAGCAGCGTGAAATTGATAAACAGATTTCAGAATGGTTAGAGAAACAAAGGATATGGCCTTTATCCATTTTTTGCAGCAATTCCACTTTTTGTTTGATGGACATCAAAACATGCTTTCATTTTGTAGATCCTTTGGCAGCTCCAGAATCAGAAATTCTTTTTGACATAATCGAAATTTCAAGCTTACTTTTATAAAATTGCTCTAACAGTCTGCAAAAAATAATAAGCCGGATCCAATTCGAAGATTAAGAAACAACGCAATTTGCAACATTAACTGAAATAGATAATTAGATAACTTTAGATTAGCTTATACCGTCCGTTATACATTAAATGCACATGCGTCAACGTATTATGCGCATGCATAAAGGTATTATGCGGCGTTGACGCATTCGCAGAAAGTTTGTAGCTTTGAGGTTCGGATTATAGATCATTCTGGATTATGGACGTCCGAATTAAAGACTTTTGACTGTACTAGTTACTTTTTATGGAGTACTCTGGGCTGCATTTTTGATGATGAGATAGCTAAAGGCTAAGCTATAACAGAGAAATATACAATTTTTAAAACATACTTGCGAGTAAAGATGGGATAGTCAAAACATGTTTAGTCAAAACATTAGTCTATATTTAATGGGAAAAGTCTTATATTGTAAGTTTTAGGTGGGAAAGGGAAACTTACTGTGGAATACTGTGGAAGTGATCTGGCCACCTCTATTTTGCAGAATAAGCCAAAATAATACTTCATTAGAAAAATTTGAAATAGCACATTAATATAATAATGGCATTCTAAAACTTATTCAGATTTTCTTTTCGTTGTACATCAAATTCATATACTATTAATAGGCATGGAATTATCATCTGAAAATGTGTTAGTTATTTTAGGATTGGATTATTAAGATTATGCAAAGCACATGAGGGGCTATCTACCTAAGGAAGGGGTGCCTTCATGGATATTTTAAGGGAAATTGGCTCATGTTCACATAAAGGGACTATCATATCTAGTGACACCTGCGGCTTTGTGGGACATTTCTGAGAAACAAGATTCTAGTAACACTGGTTTAAACGGGAGGTTTCTGAGGAATGTTCCATCTAGCCGAGGAAAGGGTGTTCCGGCTATGAGGAAGAATTTGATACTTTTACGAAAATGTTTTGTTCGCAGCTGTGTCCCATGTAGACATCAACCAATCAGATAAAAGTTCTGCTTCTGAAGGATCATGGGTAATTTTCAATATGGCGATGGCTGCAACTGTGAGATCCTGAATGGTGGAAATAGAAGCCGATTTAACTGAAGAAATATGGAAAAAGCTGTATATATATATATTAGTACTGTTTTGTTATAGTATAACTCTCAAAGTCATTTTTAAAATGTTTATACATTCATTAAATTTATAATCATGGAAATTTCAGCATAGGCAGTATTTTATGATGTGCTATTTCTGATGATTTGCTTAGAAATTATTCGTTGCCAAATTTGTCATATTTTGTGCTGATCATGTGAAAAGAGCTGTTATATAATAGAATTTTTTTATTAAATTTAAGGTAAATAATTTTTTTTAAATCTGTTTGTATATGCACGACTTTACTTTTCTGGGTAAAAGTGTATTTATGGGTACCCCTTGGCAAAAATTGGTGATTTTTGGCGGCACATGGATACTGAGTTTGTGCACTTTTTTGATTTTTTTTGGCTTGTGTAGCTCCAAAAATCGCTGCTACACAAAGCCAAAATAACAAGACAAAGAATTGCACAAACTTAACAAAAATAGGTTGATGTGTACATTACATTGATCTATTTTCACTTAAAAAGAAATCAGAGAATTGCACAAACTAGGCATTGCACACTCTGTTGACTTTGTTCATGTAAACATCGAACTATATTAAAAAGTCAAAGGAGCAGCCAACAAAAAAGTATTTGTTTGCACTACACAAAGAAAATATCCACTTACCTTATTTGTGAGTTAACATGTCTTCAGTCAAACAAAATTCCTTAACAACATCCAAAAACTTCCTTGAATTATCTGAACTAGAATCTGTATACTGGCGTCGCCACATAAACTCACAAAATAAGAGTAAAAAATATCCTGTGTAGTGCCATATCGTCCGACCATACGCATTTTCTTCCAACAAACAGGACACTTAATAATGGTTACTAAGTAAACCTTCATTTACACACCAGTCAAGTAATGCTCTTTTTCCCCTTCTTTTCAAATCGTACAGAAACTTCAAATTGGTCTTATCACATTCACCCATTTTACCGTCTAAACCAGAAAACAAGCAATGTACATCTTAACCAACACACAGGACAAGCCCTTACAAATCCACTGCAATCCTGCATTTGATTGCATCATAATAGTGTTTCCATAACATTCAACTACTTAGGCTACCATAAGTAAACCACAACTTGGCGATAAATGAAACAACTTTGCGATAATACAAGGAGTACCCTTCTGTCTACTCTAATCCTTTTCTGCTAATTACTTTTACCACTTTTAAATTGGAATTGCATAATCAGTGATTATGTGTATTTATTAAAACATAGGTTATGCATTAAATTTGTATGCTGTTATCTTCATGTTATTAATGAAATGCTTTTTAGATTATAAACGCATTAAGAACTATATTTTTATTATAAATGCTACAAGTTGAAACATTAGAAATTTATGGATTTATTGGTATGAATGATGAAAAACATTTGTATATACATTCATTAATATAAATCTTATTCATTGCATTAATACTAATAAACATACATCAACAAAACTCTAAACCATCCCATCTCTGTCTTTATGTGTATGTAAATATATGACTTATTAGATGTGTGTTCTTATACTTATGTATGAATACAAAAATTAACATTGCCAAAAAGTTTATTTGAAGTTATTTCTAATTCATATAACGATCATGTAATTGGCAGCGGCTGTAGTCATCGGTTCTTTACACATTATCATGGATATGGAATACACAGTTGAAAAATAATTGAGGTGCATTAGGCTAGTCATTTAAATTCACTGATTTACACACAACCTTTGCATTTGTAATTTGCTTAGGAATTTAAATAAAAAAAGTGAGCAAGTAACCTTTACAAAATATTTAATATTTTGGGGATAAAATAAATATTTTTTCACTCATCACAAAACATAAAGTAAATGACGTTATATTGTGTACATAAAAGTTATTAAATATTGTATGAACTTAAATCCATTTAGTGCAAATACAAGTTATTATTGGATACAAAAATATTGTTTGCAATACAGTACAAAGTCAGATATCCGGAATGATCTAAAATCCGGATTTCAAATGCCTCTACCAACTTTTTAAAAAATTTTATTATATATTTATTTTTTTTCTTTGTGTGTGTGCTTTAAACATGCGCATTTGATACCCCCTGGCGCATAATAAAACATGTGGAGAGTCGTGATTCTTAATTTCACTCGGCATTAAATAAAATACCTCGTCAATGATGAAAGGATCGTTTTAGCATAAATTTGTCTAATAAGTAATTTGGCTCTGTATCTGCCTATCATACATCTCAAACCAAAACATTCTACAGATACATTGTTGATTTTACACCTAACTAATATATATCCTTGATGCCAAACTGGCGAATCATTATTTAATATATTTTGCTTTCATCACCGCACGTTTATCAACACATGACAACTTGAGCAATGACTCGTGGAGCAATCCTAAAAAAATTTTTTTTTTATTAGTAATTGAAAGACAGTATGGTAACCTTTTATATTGACATTACACTTGATGATGATTACATATTAAAGTTAAATGCACTAAGAAATGTTGACAGGAAAAATTTAACAAAAATTTCTTTCCATATGCTAAAAGTAGATTTTGCCAATATTCATAGGCCAAAAGATTGCATCTAGAGCCATTTGGATTAAGAGTAACTGATTTGTTATTCACATAATCCCAGAACCAGCCCAGAGTTCATATGGCTGCACTGGGTGGCAGAAGTTAGGGAAGACGAAGGGAGGCGCTTGGTAGCAGAATTTAGGAGCCTCAGAGACTGACTGCATCAGGTGGTAAGATATCTAGCAACGGCCGTCAATAAGCCTTAAGTATGTGTGGGAATTTATTTATTCAGGACTCAGATAAGCATGTGCAAGAAATAGGCGTTAAGCGTAATATATAACTAAACTAATACACTTCAGGCTTAATTGTCTCAGTGTGCGATAGAAGCAAGATAAAATTTAGCGGAACAACTTGTCTTTAGTAGTCAATCTCCCAATACACATCCAAATATGTATAGTGAAGGATTGCTAAATTTTATGATGATAGCCATAAATCTGAAGGTTTTTGGATATCGCAAACTGAAGGTGAAATTTTCCAATTAACGGATTTTGTAAAAACATTTGGAGAAGCAGTAATAAATGAAAAGGATATAAAAGAAGTTTTTCACTGTAATGACAATGCTCCTCAATCATCAATCAATTACTGGATGGCGAAATCTCTAGTATGATTCTAGATCCAGAAAATACCACTATAGACAGAGTGACAGAGAGATGAATAAATTTTGATTGACAAATTAATCAGAATTCTAAACGCAGCAATTACAGGACTTCAACAATGGAACTTTATAACTGAATAAAATTATGTCTGCCTGTAGAAAAGAGAAAATATTAGCATAAAAAACGAAACAACTTGAAAGGAATGTTTAATAAAGTAAAAATGAGTATTATGCTTTATTTAATTATTATTATTATTATTATTATTATTTGTGTGTAAATTTTAATATCCTTTAGATCATAAGTGCTGTAATATTTTGTAAATCACGATTTCATATTTTTAATTTTATTATTTCTTCATGTCATCTTGCTGGATTTAAATGATCTAATATCCAGAAAAATCATAAATCCTTAATCGCAGAAGTCCCAATGAGTCCAGATCTGGGACTTTGTACTGTAATAAAATCAAAAATATTAACAAATCACTGAATGTATGATACAAAAGTATTTACAAAAGAATGCATGATCTAAAAGTATTTACAAAAATATATACAACAGATGATTACAAGAATTAAGGTAAAAAAATATACACTTTAAAAGTAACAATTAATGTAATAAACACATGTCATTTTGCCAAGGTATTCAAATAATTATAAACAACAGTATTCAAATAATTATAAAATATATTTTGTATATGCACGGAATTTGAAAGCAAACGTCTCTTTCAACAATCTAAGTAATAACTGATTCCTGTTTGGCTTTCAAGTCTGTTTACCTAGTGAAGATGGTAACCCAATTTTGTGGAAACACAGTTCCAAGAAATGTTTCTTTCAAGGTCGTGTTCGGGCAATAAATAGTATATGTGTTAGGGGTTTTATATATTTGGAAATCCACAAAAACTCCAGTGCAGCCAGCCTATTTGCTAGTATTTGAACCTAGGTCAAACTATCAATGTTCAGTGGCCTATTTCTTAGCTGCTGGTAACTTGCTTTTGATTATTCCTGTATTATAATTGATGAATTATATTCAATATCAATTTAAATTTAAAATTAGCAGTAATTATTTTTGTGTGTTTGACAACAATTATTTATAGCAAAACCTACGTCTAGATTAAAATGAATGGAAAATGCATGGAAATTTTATTTTAAATTATTTTGCCATTTGCAGAATAAACCTTTAAAATATTTGGTACTTTTTGATTATCTGCATTGTCATAAAGAGTCGCCAGCCCATTGTTGGTTTTGTGAACTGAAGAAAAAAATTTGTTTGGTTATCTTTATTGACCATTGGTGCTGTTCTGTTCATAAATTGTAATAATAGCAATAATAAGAGGCATTTTATACAAAAGAAATTTTGTGAAAAAGAATAAAAAGCTATATGAGTGATATTTACATATAGTATGCCAATGGATACTGTAATGATGATTCAAGTGTGTAAATTCATGTGTAATCAAACATGGAAATTTACATACTTGTGTGAGCTGGTTGGCTATTGTAGTTTGTGTACTCCAAAATAGGCCAAAAATGCAGTAATTCTACATGTGGAAATCAGGATGCAGATAATCAGATAGTACCAGATATATTTGTCATCTTTTCTCAAGTTCGTGATATTTCAGGTCATTTTGGATTAATATAATTTAGTAAAGCTAGATTAATCTAAGGAAAGTATCTTTTCTTTCTCTGTATTTAATACTCAGAACATGTTAAAATTTTTGTTTAGAATCTAAATGTCCGATTAAATTTGCTTGGTTTGCAATAGCTGCTCATTTAATATAAATTAAAGTTTAAAAGAGGGACAAAATTAAAATTATTACATGGGAAGAGAATTCCTTCTTAAAGTAATGACTTGACAATTTGAATATATTTACTTGACAAATACAATAAAAAATATACATAGTTATGCCATAGTGTCTTCTGAATCACACATAAGTTTTCTTCAATATTGTCCCAATGTCATTAGAGTCCAAGTTTAAAATATAAGAGGAGGAGATGAAATTCCCTCCCATTTTAAAAATGAGGGAAGAAAGGTTCTGTAGTTTTTTTTCTATTCTTTACATATTTTAATTTCAACCTTGGAAGGGCGTTTCATTATCGCAGTGGCATTATTTTGAGTATTTTATAAAAACTATTTATTATAATTTAAATGGAAATTAAAATAATAAATAAATATAATAACTAAAATAATAATTGAAATGCTAAACTTGCAGAAAAAAGCTATTGTAATTAAGGTCTTTAAATTGGTGGATATTGATTAATATTTCTTTCTTTGAATCTGTAGGTTAAGCAGAGAATATGAAAAGTTGCATAATACAGCTAGTAAAGATGTAGAAACTTTTCTTTCAAATCCTGTGAATGCTTATCTTCTTGTAAAGCGCTTAACAGTTGACTGGAAAAATGCTGAATATTTGATTGATGGTGCAGATAGTAAAGGTAAGGAATGGGTTCCCAAAAATAAGGATCTGTAATTGTTGTCTGTATATATATGTGTGTGTGTGTGTGTGATTATTTTTAATGCATAATAATAATGGCAGAGTGGTAAGACGAGATGAAGATGACGAAACTGGATTCCCGACAAATCACCAATCTTTATTTTCAAGCGTATAAAGTCATCCTAGTAGATATTTATCCAATCATAATGAAATATGGTCAATCCTTTGTACACTGATTTTAAAAGTAAGACGTAAGCATTTTGGATAGGACAGCATAAGCAGCGAAGAAGTCTGCAAGGTGGAAGCTAGGGAAAGGAATGACGTAATTTCTTGCAAGCGGTATTTACACTAAGTATGATGCAGATAGTAGTCTAAGCTATGATTGGTGAATTTTAGGTTGTTATGTAACATGGAAGGATCTCGAGTTTGGGAGACTATTCTATTAGGGAGAATGAATTTAGGGAGAGAGCACCAAATCTAGAATAGTTAATTTTGAGACTGCCAATCATTCTTGAAGTAGTTATCAAATTTTGCTGTATCTTACGTTAAAGCAGATATCTTATTTTGCTTTATCTTACATATATATATATTTACACTCACACACATATATGTATATGTGATGAAAAAGAGAAAAAGACGTAGCAGTGTCGTTAGGCCTAGAAGGTAGATCCATACTGAAGAATACTGATTGTGTAGAATACTAATGCCAATCCACAATGAATAAGAAATTTGGCAATCGAGGCAGTTTTAATTCCATTTTATTTATATTTAGTTCTCTTGTTTAAAACAGTCCTCTTGGCACTCTTATCATCTCTGTTTTCAGAACATTTACATTTTTGAATATTATTGTGATAGGAAGAGAACACAGTGATATGAAATGGCATCCAAACAGCAACAGAGATACAAGCAAAGTAAGCATTTTTCCAGTATGGCAGCTCACTGAAGAGGACGATTTTGGCTAGCTATTGTAAAACTGGTGATGGTTTTAGCGACTAATTTTTGTACCAAAATTTGGTGAGAAATAACCAGTCGACAAACTTGGCAACATTTCTGTCTGGTCTGTGTACAACCATTTGATACTGTAATTGATCCATTATATATAACTTTAACTGTATATGCCTCCCAGTAATTTCAAGAAATGGAAGCTACTAAAGATTTCTTGGTAGCCGCGAAAACTGCATAGAACCAGGAAAGCATCAGCTTTCAGTTGTTTATTTCAGCATGAGTTCAGAGTATTGGGAGATACCTCACTTTCAATATAAATGTTCTGGTTTTAAGAAGAAAATAGCACAATTAAATTTCTAGCATTTAGGAATCATTTAAAATACTGTCAAATGAATATTTTAACTTTTGTTTAAATCATTATTTATTATTTTCATTTCAGCCATTATAGAAAATATCACTCAACAGTCACAGTTGCAGTTCCCTGATGATGAAGATTTAAGTGGAGCTGCCTCTGCACTTATGCGTTTGCAAGATACGTATTTATTAGATACAGCAACACTTGCTCGAGGGTCAAATTGAAGGGACAGTGACTTCTTCAGAGTTGTCAGGTAAATCCACATTCCATTTCATTAATTTTTTGGTTATTCAGTTGGTGTGTAATGTATAAACAAAGAAAATATAATAGTTTCAAATTAGCATAAATTCAAGTGTCTAAGAACTAGAAAAATGAATTCCGTATTCATTCTGTTTGTTAATGTATAGTTAGTGTTTATCTGTCATCTACATTAGCTATTGTAGAACCACCACTGAAAATGGAAGTGATAAAGCTGCTGATATAATGTTACTTTCCCACAATCCCTTAACTGACAGTGGACTTGATATAAAAAAAAAAAAAAAAAAAAAAAAAAAAATGTTTTCCTCATGACTGATTTTTTAACTTTGGAGAGCTGATAATGTTTCTATCATCACGAGGTAGTTTTCCTTTCTTATATCTAGTAAATATATTTCTACATTATACAGTCAAAAGTTGTTAATCCGGACTCGTCGGGACTTCGGCGATTCTGGATTATCGATTTTTCCGGATTATAGGTCATCAGTTTAAACCTGGTAAGATTGCATGCAGAAATTACAAAATTAAAAATATGAAACCATAATTTATGAAATAAAGAAGAATTATGATCTAAAGGGTATCAAAATTTACAAAAAGAAAAGCTTAATATTTATTTGTTTACTTTATTAAACATTTCTTTCAATGTAAGTTGTTCAAGTTGCTTCGTTTCATGTGATAATACTTTCTCTTTAATTCTATTAAACAGACATAATTTCTTGTTTAGTTACAAAGTTCCGCTCTTTAAGTCCTATAATTGCTTAAAATCATATCAAAGACGGAGTACATGGAGATGAAATACTACATTTAGTAAGGAATTATAAGCCAAATAAAATAAAAACGTCTGCCCTGAAGATAAGGATAGTGCTGACAGATCAACTTCCAATTAATTGCACGCCGCAGCATTTCCCCCAACCCCCGCTGCAGAGCAGCGTGAAATTGATAAACAGATTTTGGATTTTGAAACATACTTTCGCTTTGTAGATCCTTTATATATTAGTAAATATATATCGGAAATTCTATTTGACATAATCGAAAGTTCAAGCTTACTTTTATAAAATTGCTCTAACAGTCTGCAAAAAATAATAAGCTGGATCGAATTCGAAGATTAAGGAACAACACAATCTGCAACATTAACTGAATTAGATAATTTTAGCTTAGCTTATACCGTCCATTATACATTAAAATGCGCATGCGTAAACGTATTATGCGCATGCGCACATGCATATTCGCAGCCGTAAAGGTCTTACGCCCATGCATAAACGCCTATGCACAAAGCAGCGCATGCGTAGAAAGTTTGTAGCTTTGAGGTCCGGATTATAGATCATTCCAGATTATGGGTGTCCGAATTAACGACTTTTGATTGTAATTGCATTTCTTATGCAGTTTGGATTATCCATTAATTAAGGTAAGAGACTTTCATTCTACTTCATTACTTACTTATCACCAGTAATCCTTATTTAGATAGTAAACAAGTGAACTGGACGTTCCTTCAACACTTATTAGATAATATAAAGCTGTTTGTAATTTATGAAAGTTTAATAAAATTTTCTGTTTTACTTAATTCTGATAACTTTTATGCTATAGAATTTGTTATATTCAAAAATTATTTTTAAAAATGGCAATTTGGGATTTGTTAGTCATCCAGTACCTGCTGATACATCGCAAATAATATGTTGGTACCTTATGATAAAGTTTGTTTATTTTATTTCTGGGAGGTTTTGTTTGCCAGTCACATTTAAAATGGCATTAAACATATTGACACATCACAAGCAATATGTTGATGACTTCTGCGAGGTTTTGTTTGGTAATCACATGCAAAATGGCACCAAACATATTGTTATTCTCTCTAGCTTGTCTGTATCCTCATGTGAATATATGTGATGATAATCAAAAAGCATTGCCTCTTATTCCTCCATTATGATATTTCCCACATTTGTTCTACTGTTTTATTTAGCAATCTTACTCAAAATGGCATCAAACTGATTGTTATTTTCTGTTAGTTGTCACTGTTTTGTCTTCATATGAACTGTATTAGTATAAAGACAAGTGATGATCTGTTAAAGACATTGTCTCTTATTCCAGTATTTTGGTGATCCTCATACTTTCTTCAGTGTTTTATTTAAGAGTTAAAGACATTGCCTTTTATTCCTATTCCTATATTTTAATGATTCTCGCACTTGTCTAGCTAACCCTAAGAGGAAAAGAATGTAGTGCTTTCTGCTTATCCATACTCCCACAAAAAGTTGCTAATTCATTCATAATTTTATGAATTGTCAAAAAAAAGTTTGACTGCCTTTATGGTTTAAAGGTATTTTTTATTTCATAAATAATGATAAAAGAAGTATTTTATTGTTAGTTTGGTACATTTATATTTACCATATTGACAACACCTGTAACGAACCTGCATTTATCCATGGCGGCACGAAGAGCTAGCACAAAGCATCCGGTGGTTCAGTTTTTCTAATGCTATTTATTATCCGTTATATTTACATATTTACAACTGTCCTATTGTTAGGCGGACTACCTTCACAGAAACCATATTGCCTAATCAAAACGATATTTTGTCTCTACTTGCATGCATTGCGCTACTGCCAAGCAGCGCCCTCTACTTCTCTCTTTACAACACTCCTCACCTGTGTACTCAAAGTTCACACAAACCGAATGCAAAATAAACCAGTATTTCTAAATCAAACACAACATTTGAATACTATATAAACTACATCAAATTACAAATAAAAATTAAGTAATGTTTAAACACATTAAATCAACTTATAAAGTAATTACTAAATAAGAAACATTATACCAAATCAAAATTCGCAATAATTATATAAACTAAACTACATTTAGCAACAATCAATAAAGATATTCAGAAGATGATATATGTGCAAACAACAAATTAGGTTATTACACAGTAACTCTTTACTACACACAGTAACTCTTTACTACTAATTACGCACTTCAAGATTGTACAGTAATTGTACTGGTCTCTTTAGATTACCTGTTTGAGTTTTTATTAGACAAGAGTGAACCTGACCATCTCTGCTATGTTTCTATTATCTTACCTAGTGTCCACAAATTCCTAGGTAAACGGTCGTCATGTACAAGGACTACATCATTAACATTAAACCATGGACCTTAAAATAAGGTCCATGCATTAAACTGACCAGACACTTTAGTAGGTGGACATAAATTCACAGATCTTAAAGAAAGCAAGTAATCCTTCCTCCACCTATTCCAAAAATGGTTTAACAAAGTTTGTTGATGTTTATACCTTTTGATCAAGGAATGTCTAGATCCAGTCAAGTCTTCTCTGCACACTCTTGTAACTGGAAGAGAAAGTAAACGTTTACCAATTAAGAAATGAGCAGGAGTTAGCGGTGAGGGTTCTGAAGGATCATTGTAGACATATGTTATGGGCCTTGAATTAATTATGGCTTCAATTTCTACGAAGACTGTTTCTAGCTCAAAACAAGTTTTGATCATTCTAAAATGCCTTTCCCAGAACCCTTCCCACCATGCTCCTTTTTCCATAATAAACTTCCATGTTATACCATGGGAAGAAAACAAATTTTGTACAGATGGATGTTGAATACATTTCCAAATTTTTCGCAACTCGAGATCAGCACATTTGAATATCTTGGCATTGTCTGAATATATCGTTGAGCACAATCCACGACGAGAAATAAACCTGCGAAACGCAAGCATAAAATTCACGCTCATAGAAGGGATAAGTTCTAGATGTAAAGCTCGAGTTGTAGCACATGTAAACAAAAGCAGATAATGTTTATTCTTGCTGTCCTTTGTAAAGAAGGGACCAGCATAATCCAGCCCTGTTACAGAAAATGGAGATGATTGAAGAACACGATGAGGTGGTAAAGGAGCGGTTTCCTGTGTACCGGCACGCACCTTGTATTGTTTACACAAAAAGCACTTACTTAACGTGGACTTGACGAATTGGCGTCCTTTTAAGATCCAAAACTTTTCTCTAATATCGGCTAAGGTAGCTTCGACTCTAGCATGAAACAATTTGTTATGAGACTCAAAAATTACTAGTTCACTGTATCTATCTTAATAAGGTAACAGCCATGGGTGTTTTCCTTCAAAAGCAAGGTCTGAGAATTGAAGTCTGCCCTTTAAACGCAGAAGACCACGGGTATCCAATTCTGGGTTAAGTGAATAAATCGACGATGTCTTTTCTAAGCATTTTCCACTTGATAAATCTAGAATCTCTTTCGCAAAGTATTTTCGCTGTGTAACTTTTACCCAATAGAACTCTTACCCAATAGAACTCAGCTCGCGAAATCTCAACAGAGCTTAATCGACCTTTGACTTTCACTGAATTTCGTTTTATATTCTTCGTAAACCGCATAACATAAGCCATAATTCGATACACCTTCAGCAGCCTGCTGAATCGCGTTAACTCTAGTAATGCCGAAGATTCTACGTCTTGAACAGAAACATGAAGAGATGTTTGCATCCTTGCTTCGTTCTGATCGCTTTCCTCGTCGATGTTGGTCTTCTCTGATACTAGTTCACTGTATCTATCTTAATACTTCTCTGGTTGATTTACCGGCCAAACACTTTCAGGTTGAGAAAGCCAGCTAGGTCCCTATAACCAAAGGGAACTTCTCACAAGGTTAAAGGCATTTTCTCCTCGAGATAAAAGGTCAGCAGGGTTTTCACTCCCACTGCAGTGAAACCAGCATTCAGGATCCGTCAGTGAAAACGATGACGTGGAAAAATGGGAAGAAAAGGATATCCAAGCTACAAATTACATTTACGGCGCCATAACAAACAAGCAATTGGAATATATTCACGAGTGTGAGACTGCATTTGATATAATTACGAAATTTGATGCAATGTATTTAAAAACTTCAACATCTCTACAAATTGTTTTTCAAAATAACTTAGAATGTGTGAAACTGAAAAATTATCCTGATGTAAATATATTTTTCGATGATTTTGAGAAGTATGTGAACGAACTGAAACATGCCGGCG